TAAATAAAAAAAATCTATCTTAACTGTTTTAATATTGATAAAGATTTTAATACAGGCTACTGGAGGATACCCAATGCACTGAAGCTGTGCAGTGAGTATAAACAACTATATTTACTATTTAAAAAAATAATGTTTTTCAATTTGTGTGTATATATATATATATATATATATATATATATATATATATATATATATATAAAATGGTAAAAAGAGGGATATTTAAACAGACTGTAATGATGCAAACTGGCCTGTCTCTGAACACAATGATGCTCATCTGTCACTGGGGGAGGGAGGGGGTGGCGGGATTGAAGAAGGGGATGCTGGTGATCTTATGTTTACATGATGGAGTGACAGAGAAAATTATTTAATGTAAATATCCTGTTTAACATCTCCTAGCGTTTAGCTGATGTTAACCTTCTGATAACAAGTCCTTTTCCTGCTGCCTGATCTGGTTGATAAAGGTAAATTCTCAACCCTGTTTGGCCTCTGTGTTATCTACAGACACACAATAGGCTCAATAAATGCTGGATTAATCCTGGTTTAACCCTCATACATTGAGGAAGAATAATTAAGTAGTTGTATCCTGCAGATCTTATTTTTCTCAACAGGTTAGTAATCTATCGTTCATTTGAACTATTCAGTTAAGAAACCTTTCTGAAAAAAAACAAGGGGGAAAAACTAGGCCACAGTATTGAAACAAAGTTTCTCCCTATCTGCCTGTTTCTCCTTCCTTTCTCTTCCTTTTTCAAACCCAGACTTTGAGGTGCTGTATTTTTCAGTTGCTGACGTTTTTACCCGACTGCTGCTTATTTACACATTTTCTTGTTAATTTGTTTTTTTCGTTATCACTACGTCAAATGACGTGCGCATGGCATTTAAGCCCCGGAGCGAGCGAGCTGGCTGTGACAGACGAGGAGACCTGATGCGATGCAGGAGCTGCGCATCAAAGAATCAATTAGAATCGTTCTAACTTTCCCCCCATACGGCGCCCCTGACTGTGGTTGGAAGTGTCTGCAGGAAGGTTTACTGAAAAACAAATGTCCTTTGTAGTGTGGTGCTTTCCAGTAGCAGAGCGCACAAAGGTTTGCATATTTGTGACCTCTGTTGCTACTGCTGCTGATGTGAGAGGCCAGTATAATTTGGTTATTTATACAAATTTGTCGTTTCAGAGCTGCTTCCTAATACCTGCAATGCAGCCTTTCAGATGTCTCTTGTGATAAGAAATACATTTTTGATAGGAATATTAAAAGTAGACCGTGCACCATTGCAGCCATGCAAAATTCTGCAGGCAACTGTTCAGCTTAGTGACAGCACTATGGGGATATTTCATAATTGGGATATTAAAACAACATAGTTTTGACTATTTCAAAGTAACTGAAAAATCTTGATTATAATTCCGGATGTGTGACACTTAAAAAGACAAATCAGATGATGTCATTTGAGACATCTAGAAATGCATTGTGATTAAAGATATCTTGAAATGTCTTTTTTCCCTAGACATAATATAAAATTATAAAACATCATTAAGGGCAGTCAAAATTTATTAAATAATGTTTGTCTATTCTATAAAAATGTATGTTTATCTGTAATGGGTCTGTATTGTTGTCTTCTCAATTCAGAAGGCCCCATGTCTGGCTTTGCCTAGGGCACCAAATTTCCTAAATTGCCCCCTGCTTCCACTGTCTCCTCCAGGTTGTCCTCTGTTTTGCTGAGAATTACCTCCCCTATCGTGGGAGCGCGCATCGCCCTAAACTCACACCCATTGATGAGAAAACGGATTGAAATATAAACGAAAAAGGGACATTTTAAACATATTCTTAATGTTTTCATATTTGTTATACATGGATGCCTTAAAATTGATAGATTTGATGGACAGATACTTTCGAATTAATAGGATTTTACTTGTATGTAGACACGTTTCAGTCGATGTGCTACAGTCAGTGTACGATGAATAAATTCTCTGCTCAGTGGATGCCTATTCTCGATTTTGCTATCAACATCATTCTACAGTAGATCAGGGGTCTTCAAAGGACCCACAAACTGATGGGTGTATATCAAACTGGTCTTATAGTCACTCTATTACATATGGAGTCATGTAACGAAAGAAATTTCTCCCTTGGATTATTAAGTATTTCTGATTCCTGGTTGATGGGACAGGTGTTGAGAATGAAACAGTCCCCAGCTTGAAACATCGCTGTGTGTCGCTGAATGTTTGCATTGATGACTGAAAGACATCTTGTGCCTCCATTTATCTGTTTACTACAGTGTGTTGAATTTATGTTAATGTGTATTTAAAGACATTTCAATTGGTGGAAAAAATTTCAGGGGGGATATAAAAAAAGTCTAATCCTCCAAAACTTTCGCAAACCCCCATGCAGTACCTTTGTGGACCCCCTGTTGAAGACCTATGTTCTAGATCATTGCTGACACTTTATTTGTTAAACTTTGAATCTGGAACCTGCTGAAGATTCCCTCCCGTCCTTATTTTCACATTTATCATCCCAGACTTATGAAATTCATACCACAATCACAGAGAACAGGTATGATTATGTGGAGAAACTTGCATAATTGTAAACACATTGTTTCTCAAACTAAGCAGGGGAGGGAGATTTCAGCAACTTAGAACCTGGAACCTGCGGAAGATTACATCCCCTCCTTATTTTCACATTCCCCTTAAATCATGTTGTCTTTGCCGCTTCGCCACGATGCTGTTTAGGACATCACAGGATGTCCTGAACAGCATCCAATTCAGAAGATTCAGAAGATTTTTAAACGACAAGACTGTCTTCACTCTCGTTTTTTGAAAAGGTTTTTTGAAGTGTGACATAAGCTAAAGTTGTTTTTGAGGACAATCTGTTTCATTTGGCTTCCAGGCAGCATGATAAAGACGTTCTGAAGAGGCTTGCCTATCTTGCAGATATGTTCTCTGCTCTGAATAAAATTAATCCAAGTCTGTAGGGAGTCAGTATTATTGTTTTCAATAGAAGACAGAAGCCATGATGAAGCAATGATTCTGGACAAGTTGTGTGAGAGAGAACATACCCCTGTGTTTCCCTACATTTCACAAGTTCTTGAGGGGAAAATGACATGCACCTGGATGAGCATGTGAAACGTCTCATATCTGAACACCTGAATCAACTTCCCAAGCAGCTACGAAGATAATTACCTTATACTACCAATAGACTCAGCTCAAGCATATATTATCAACCCATTTTAATTTTCCATTCCCAGTCCCACACCTGTCATTTCAAGAGCAGGAACAGCTAACAGAGCTGTCATCTCATGGTTCACTGCAGTTACACTTCAATTGAAAGACACATTTCGATTTTTGGTCTGAGTCAATGCCATCATGCACAACCCTGCCTAAGCAGGACGTGAGAGTTTTAATGACCTTCCCTAAAATGTATCTATGCAAGGATGTTTCTCTGCTCTGGCAGCAGATAAGACTGACCATGAGCAAAGACTGGATGCTGTTGAAAAAGACAGCAGGGCTACTCATTGCATTAATATTGGCAAGTATTTGGCCAAGTGGTATTGCTATTGTTCTTACATTAACACATTTGCTACAAACATAGCTCAAGGACAACTCTCTCTTATCACCAGACACAAATCAAATTAAGCTTCTTGTTTCTATTTAGCAGTGTACATTGTAAGTCAGATTTAGAGAATGGTACATGCAAAAAACCATACACAGGTAGATTATCAGAGTTCAGTCATGAATACAACTTCAGAGACATTACAAATTATCTGTGGTGGTTTGACCAATTCTAGCGTCTCTTTTTTTCTCTCATTGCACCTGAAAGCCCTCAGGATCCTGTTGTGGATTCTATGTGTAACTTTATTTTAATGTAATTAGAATCCAGTTCTAATTTCATTATTAAAATATGTTATGATGATGGAACTGTGTTATTGTAGCTTTATTTTTTATTATTTAGTTATTATCAATGATCTGGTTATTCGAGCCGATTAAACATGTGGCCTTTAATACGACTATAACAAAGCTTGTGGTATTTTGTTGTTTTTTGGGTGGATTGGGGCAGCCAATGTCAAAAGTACACACATTTGTTACTTATGTAGAAGTATAGATACTGCAGTTTAAAAAACAATCTGGTATAAGTTGAAGTATCAACATGACCTCTTTACTCAAGTAAAAGTGAAAAAGTATGTGCTCCAAAAACTATTTAAAGTATAAAAGTATAAAGTAACCTTTCAAAAAAACAGCCAGATGCCACTATATGAATTGAAAGCAAAATTTTTCAACTATTTCTAAAAATTCTTTGAGATAGGGCCAAGGATGAGGAGGTCTTGTAGGTCTCCATCTCCTGATACGCTCTCGCCTGTGTCCAACCTTTCAGACATTTCTTTTTCTGAATCCGACATTGTAGCACGGCATAAACAATTCAAGTCTGCAGTTTGAAGAACACCTGCTTACTTCTGATGATTTCCTTTAGCTAACCAATGAGGGTGTGCATTATGACTCATCCAATTACAATAGTTTTCACTAGATGTGGATGGTGCCAATGATCTGCATTGGATGATGCACATGACATGAAATAAATATTTATAAACATTTAACCGAAGCCAAGAGTAAAAAGTAACATTTGTTTTAAAAATGTAAGGAATAGAAAGTACAGATACTTGTGTAAAAATGTAATGAGTAGAAGTCAGAAGTAGGAGGAAAATAAGTAATGGAGTAAAGTATAGATACCTAAAAAGTGTACTTAAGTACAGTAACAAAGTGTATGTACTTCGTGACTTAACACCACTCGGGGCACCTTATGTGGTCCATTTATTGATCAGAAAAAAGATTAGATTTTCTTCAGCAGATCATCAACAGATGGTGAAATCATCCTATTCTGGTCACTAGATGATTGAACTAAGCCAGAACCCATGTCACTAAAACTTGCAACTTCAAAGATCGTTAAAGGGAGGTTTAAAATTTGTGTATTCTACCTCACACATGTATCTTTATTTAATTTTTTTTAACTTTTTTTTTCTAGATGCATGTTAGCTACAAACGGTGCTGCAAATGGGTTTTGGTCCTTGGTCTGCTGCTAGGTACCCTGTTTCATTTTTGGGGCCCTTCAAGCAACTTAGAAGAGGACCTCCGACCGAGACGAGGCAGTGCAATCCAAGCACTTCTCAGTGGGAAAATTTACCATATTATGAGTGATTATTCTGAAATCCCTTATAAGGTCAAAGAGAATGTGGCACGGTGTGTTGTGTGTCAGTGTTTTCATTTTGTTCTATATTTATAACTTACTCTACTCACCAACTCAATCTGTTGACTTTTTCCAACAGTGAGTTGGCTCAGAATACATGCATATGCCTGGCTGGAGAGGAAACCTTTCACCTACCATTCTCTGATCTGCTCTTTCCTCGTGTTTGGGCTCACAACCTCCAGCATGCATTCTTAGAAACACGACCTGATCCTGACAACGTAAAGAATCACAGAGCAGAGGAGTACCACCACTTTCAGAAAAGGTGAAAATCAGTAAAAGTTTATTTACAAACCAGACCAAGTTTGTTGCAAGACAGCCTCTTCTAACACAGTTTGTTATAATCTGGCTGTTTCATTACCATTGTATTCAAAACATTTGAATTAGTGTAGAGTTTTATAATTTATACAAATGGCTGTTATTTTTATTTATATGACAAGTCATCTTAAAATCTTAACATCCTGTTAAGAAATCTGTGCACCCTAACATTAAAATCACTTTTTCCTTCACCTGACTGAAAAAGCATATTGTACTGTATTTAATGTCAAAATTTTAAATAAAAGGAAAGGTGATTATTAATGAACAGATAAACAGCATTAGTTTAGCTGTATAATGTACTTATTTAATTATATTTTGCACTTAATTATGAAAGTATGCATACTGCAGTCAGTGTGATTAAATGCCTGCACTGGTGAAGTGCAATTGTATATGTGGACCTAATGAAATAATGAAAAGAGGACCATAATTCAGCTTAAATTCTAAATTATGATGTATGCAATATTTACACGTGTCCTTACCTCCATATTCCTATTCCCCAAGGTCAACAAGGTAAGTCCCACCACAAATAAACACCTAAATATGACAAGCTGTGAGGGATTCACAATGATTGCTGTAATAATTTAAACTGCATTTAAATAATGTTGTGATACCTGTACATAATGGTGATGGATGAATGCACAGGACAATGTTAAAAATTAAACAATTACGTTTTCAGGGATCACCAAGGTTTCCTGACCCATGGTGATTACTGGCTTATGAGTGGATTGGACTCTTTGGAGCAGAGTTCTTAAATTTTGGCCCCTGAGGTCCGGTGTTTCGCAATCCTTAAATGTGTCTCAAATGTCAACATATGTGGCCTTCTTTTTGCCTGTTGTGGAGGACAAGTCCGGTGTATCTTCCTTAACCTTGGGTATCACATGATTCATTGTGAGTCTATGCAAGCTGGCTGCTCCCTGCTACAATAATTTTGTCTTAAATTAATAAAAATATCTTATCTTAATTGTTATTGAGTCAGCTATGTTGCGGGCAATGGTAATTGATAGCTTTTATCTTCCCCTGTGCAAATGGGTTTGCCTGACAGTCAAGCACAGATACCAATATCTCCGACTTGTGGGGACTATAAATCAAACACCTACAGTGACGGTACTGCTGCTAAAGCTCCTCAAAGACGTAATTAGCACACAGAACAGTATTGAGAAGTGCTTTGTAAGTCAACTGTTACGGTTGCTAGGTGACAGAGCATGTGCTGAATGAGGGACAGTGTAAGCCGGATAAGCCTTGACTTGTTTGAATTTACAGCCCAACTTTTCTGGCCTCTTTATTGTTATAGGAACCTTGCCTTAGAGCATGTTGTGTGCTGAACAGGATCGTGTGTGTGTGTGGTCGTACGTGTGTGTGTGTGTGTGGGTGCGTGTGTGGGTGTGTGTGTGTGTGTGCGTGCGTGCGTGCATGCGTGCTCAGTCATTGCAGAAGCATCAGGTGGCTTACTAGTTCTCGGAAATAGAAGTCAAGTTGGTTAACTCTATAGCTTTAGTCAAAGAGACCTGATTGTGTCCTCCTGTGCAGGTCCTACTCTCCAGTGGATATGCTCATCATCGCTGAGGCGAACAATCCTCTTCAGTATCCCACCCAAGGTTTGGAGGTGCAACCCCTCAAAACAGTTATCATCCCAGGTAATATACATGATAGCCTGTTTAAAAAGGTGTTTGCCTTAGTTTTCAATCTTTAATTTATAGGTTTATAAACATTTATAGTCAGTCTTTCTTCTTCTTACATTCGGGTCATCTACATGTTCCATTAATAATTCACTCTCTCCACAGGTCTTGGTCTTAGACAAGAAGACAGAGGCAACTATATGGTAACTTTGTAATGTTGTCTTATTGATTGGCCTGTACTTGCTATTCATATTGTTCTATCTGAAAACAGGTAAATTTGACAGCAACACTTGGGGTGTTTGACATTGCTGCCACAGTGGATGGGGTTTCTGTGAAAGGAGTGGGTGAAAAGCACATCTCACTGTCAAGCCTGGTTCAGGCTGCCCTGAATAGGCAACTCCAGTTTGTCACATACACCAACACAGTGTTTCATCCAAAGACAGCAGACTCAAGTAAAGCTCCCATTCTGACTTCATTATATCAGGGTGTTATGTGTGACTTTTCACACAAATGCATACATGAATAAGAAGTAGTATATAAATGTCCTCCTTATATTGGTTAAGCAAGGACAGTGATTTCACAAGGTCAAAAAAAGGTTTTCATCCACTTGGATGTTTTAATGTTTGTTGTTTTATAAGATAAATAAATTATTAATATAATTGGATTTTGTGTTTCAAAGTAAAAATAGATATTGCATTATGATAATACATAGTATAAAATAATTGATTGCATATTCTTAAAATTAATAAAATCAACATAATCAGATTCTATTTTGTCAGCAGGGATTTCCATTGACCTTTAACTTTTGACCATCAGGATGACTAGGCAAAAAATAAGAGTTAAACAGTTGTTCTTATTTCTCATAGATTTTTTTTGTCAAATCAAAAAGGTATTTATTCCCTCTCATGTATTTTAAATCAGTTTCTGCTTCATTCGGCAGTTCAGTTTGAAACTGAAGGGCACCAGTCCTTTTTCACCATCAAAGTTGGACATAGAGTTGTTCCAAAACTTTACAATTCTGGACAAAGTGAAGGTTTGTAAGCACATACTTCATCTTATTATCAGTTTGAAAAAAATTTCTTGTTTGGTTTTACCTTTTTTTTTCTGTATTCTCTCTAAGGGTACAACATCACCTCTCTGGTTACCATTGCTACCAAGACCTTTTTGCGCTATGACAAACTCAAAGATCTCATTGACAGCATAAGGCAGTTTTACCCCACCGTCACCATAGTTATTGCAGATGATAATGAACATCCCCAGCCAGTAACCGGTCCTCATATTGAGCAATACATCATGCCATTTGGAAAGGTGAAGAGGCTCGCAGATCCTATATGATTCCTGCATGACGAAATTATAGTCATTAAGTCATAGTTTTTTCTTTTCTCTGGAAAGGGCTGGTTTGCAGGAAGAAACCTAGCAGTCTCTCAAGTTTCCACAAAGTATGTGCTTTGGGTGGATGATGATTTCATCTTTACTGCAAATACCCAGTTGGAAAAAATGGTTGACATCTTGGAGAAAACTACTCTTGATCTGGTAAGCTAAATATATTAAATGGTGGGGGGGGCGCTAACTGTAGTTCTGATTAGAAGCACTGGCTGTTATAATTTCTTGCTCCTTCAACAAACGAGTCAAAACCAACATACACAACAACATAAATGATTAATGGTGAGAGAACCACAACTGAATGCATCCACTTCAGTGAAACCCGCTACATTTAGAATGCAACCTGTTTCCTTCTTCCCTCTACAAGTGGACAAGCTTGTACTTGCAGCCGTTCAGGTACCGGTATTTGCCCTCAAGACAGCAAAACTGTTGAAAAATGTGTATTAAACAACAGCAGTTTGCTTGTCTCCTGTAAACAATGAGCTTTAGGCATTCCTGTCTATTTCAAAAACAGAACTTAGATCTCTCAGGGAAGTTCTGCAGTACTTGAATACTCATAGTCCATTAGTGACACTAACAAAGACAAAACAGCCTGCTTATGGTTTAAGCAAAACCCACAGAACCTGAAAAAGGATTAGATGCTTAGTTGTACGCAACACCCACAGATTGCTTTGCAGAATGTATGCTGCTACCCAGGCTAAAAAAACTCTTTGCTATTCACAACACTTCACTCCCTATGTGCTCAAGTGCCCTCTGGAGATCTTTTAGTATTGGTAGCCAGGTATTCAGGCAGTAGAAAAAGGCTTGGCAATATAAATATTGACACTTCTCTTGAACACAAACAAAAAGCTAAAACCAGTATACTGTAAGCAAAAGTTATCTTAGTTTAATACACACACACACACACACACACACACACACACGTATGTATGTAT